AACACTGTTAAAAGAAATACAAGAAGACAGCATGAAATGGAAAGACATCCCCTGCTCATGGGTTGAGAGAGTTAACATCATCAAAATGGCCATCCTGCCAAAAGCAATCTACAGATTTAATGTCATCCCAGTAAATCGCTCAACGACATTCTTCAAAGAAATAGAAAAAATGTTGATGAGATTCATATGGAACAATAAAAGACCTCAGATAGGCAAAATCCTCATGTCTAAGAAAAAACAAAACGGAGGCATTACAATCCCAAACTTCAAGCTATACTACAAAGCCCAAACTTCAAGCTATACTACAAAGCCATAATAATCAAAACTGTACTGGAATAAGAATAGACATACAGACCAATGGACTCGAATAGAAAACCCAGATATAAACCCACAAGTTTACGGACAGCTAATTTTTGACAAAGGAGCAAAGAAGATACAATGGAACAAAGAAAATTTGTTCAGCAAGTGGTGCTGGGAAAACTGGGAAACTACATGCAAAAAAATGAAACTAGTTCACTGCCTCACTACAGTCACAAAGATCAACTTGAAGTAGATTAAAGACCTAGACATAAGAAAGGAAACCATAAAATACCTAGAAGCAAAGATGGGTCAAACACTACACGACATACACTTCAGCGACATCTTTAAAGACAGAGCACCCAATGCCACAATAGTGAAGGCAAGGATAAACAGATGGGACTACATCAAGTTAAAGAGCTTCTGTACAGCAAAAGAGACATTACAAAAAACAAACAGACAGCCCACTGATTGGGAAAAAATTTTCTCACACAAAGTAGTGATAAAGGAGTTATCACAAAAATATACGGAGAACTGATGAAACTCAACAAAAATAAACAACTCCATCAAAAAATGGGCAGAACAGCTAAAAAGACACTTCTGCAAAGAGGAACTGCAGATGGCTAACAAGCATATGAAAAACTGTTCAACATCACTCGTAATAAGGGAGATGCAAATTAAAACCACAATGAGATACCACTCACCCCAGTGAGAATGGCACATCTTCAAACAACTAGCAACAACGAATGTTGGTGAGGATGTGGAGAAAAAGGAACTCTCCTGCTTTGCTGGTGGGAATGCAAACTAGTACAACCACTATGGAAAACTGTTTGGAGGTTCCTCAAACTGCTGAACATGGAGTTTCCCTACGACCCAGCAATCCCACTCCTAGGTATCTCCCAAAAGACACAAAAACACTGATTGAAAAAGATACCTGCACTCCCATGTTTATTGCTGCTTCATTCACAATTGGAAAAACACGGAAGAAGCCCAAATGCCCAAAAGTAGATGACTGGATTAAAAAGATGTGGTAGATATCTACAATGGAATATTACTCAGCAACCAAAAAAGAGAAACACATATCTTTTGCAGCCACTTGGATGGAGCTGGAAAAGATCATGCTTAGTGAGATAAGACAGAAAGAGAAAGAAAAATATCAGATGGTTCCACTCATAGCAGGAGTATAATGAACCATGCGAGAAAATAATGATAGTGAAGAACAGCTATATTCCAGAGACATTTTGTGGGGTGGGATGGGGAATTGGATAAAAAACAGTGGGGGAAGGGAAATGCACTGGACTATGGTGATGGCACATGGGTGATTTATTTGGTGATGGGAAACCCAAGGGGATTGCAAATGAGATGGAAAAATGCACAAAAATATGTAATAATAAACTATTACATTAAAAAATGTGTTTCAGTTGGAATTTCAACGATAAACCCAAGTTATCCTCTTTTATACAATCTCATTTTCTGATTCCAAAAGTTTTTGAAAATTCTATTTCACTTACTTTTATATTATCTTTGGTTAAAGAAAATTGATGTGTATTCTTAGGGCAATATAAATAGCTGCAACTATTGTTTTCTATCATGTTAAATTATTGAGACAAACGAAAATTAAATTTTAACTTTAGGTGTTATATAGTAAAGGGCAATGGAGAAATTAAATTAAATATAATGAAAAATATGGACTATCTTTTCTTCAGTTCAATGCTCATGTATTTTTGGACAGAAAATTTCAGGGAGATGTATATTTTGTAGATTTAATGTTTCATTTTTAAAATCCTTCTGATAAATAAGTGTATATCAGCTCATACAGAAAACAAAATCTATGTAGACCATATAAATTATAGCATCTATTAATAAGTTGATATGTTGGTATTACATCATCCTTTTATATAATTCTAATTTTGAGGAAAATAAATTACCTTGGGTGCTGAAGAAAAAAAAAAAGGAAACAAACAAACAAAAAAACCATGAGTCCAAAGCTCCTGAATATTACACTGCTAAATTTTGCAAGAAATGTAAATATAATTCTCCTAGATCAATACAATCCCAGAGAACTTTCTATGGTTATTAAAATGTTCTAGCTCTATTCTATCCAGTGAGATAGCCCTTGCCACCTGGACCAGCTACATAATTTTTGGGTTTTGGTGCAAAAGGAGGATGACAGTAGATCATTAAATCAAGCATGGGGTATTCTAAATACAAAACCATGAGGCCCACGTTTTACTAAACATTCCCAAAGCGGAAAAGGGACGAACAAATTTTTAACAGAACTGTATAAGCCCTATGACAGTGAGGATTACAACCACAGATTTGATGGTGCTTATCAACATATTCTACTAAGAAACTAGTGACAATCAATAATTTGCTATTTTAGATATTTTTAGCCAAGAAAGGTTTTTAAAAGAGGAGAAAAGGGAGTTAAACAAGGTTCTTGGATGAAATAAGCAAGCTGGGATATTGTTTATTTTGAACCTCTACCTGGTGCTACTAAAGATGAAATGCCACTATGTATATTATATGCAAATATGCAAGTTCATAAAAACAGTCATAGAGCACCCCACCGTTCTAAAAGCTTAACAAGGATAAGAATTTTACTACTACTTTACAATAGTGGATATTTCCCAATCATTATTATGAATATATCACACCTCTGAGAATTGGATAAGGGCTGCAAGTATGGCGATGCCTGCTGCTGAACATAGCCACTTGGCTGCTGCTGCATCTGTCTTAGTCTTTCCATCAGAGCTGGGCTGGAGTGCGTGGCTGGATAGGTTCTGGAGTTATAGCTGGGAGACAGGACCAAGCTTCCAGTCTGTGGCTGTGAGTTTGGCTGCAAAGGCATTTGTGTTCCATACATTGTGTAGCCCTGGGACATGGCCTGTAGGCAAGTACAAGGCATTCATATCATTAGTTCATAGAGGTCATCAATGTTCAACAGATCCCAAATCCTATCACATCATTTCCAAAATGGGTTAGAAAAGCTCTCTAATGTAATTTCTCAATGCTGATTAAAATTTACACTGGAATACACTTTTCTGATACGTGATTGTATCTCTCAAGATCTGATGAACATTCCTGTAATAAGTGACATGTTGTCTGAAAAGTCCTATTAATATCTTAGTCAGAGAGTAAGAATGTAACTTCTAACTATTCATTACCCTTTAGTCCTAGTTGAACCACAGCCTATTTCAGAACTCTACCAATAATCTGATCATCAATTTTCTACTAAATATAATGATATGTTAATTTAAATCTTGATGCCTAATGAAATTCCTGAGATTCTATTGGATCACTGCAATGTGAAGAACAAAATGCTAGTTACAGTAGAAAAGGTCTGTTCAGCAAATCCTCAAAGCAACACACTTTTAGGTAGTTTAATGACTCTGACTTAAAAGAAAAAGTAGCAAATATGAGCTTTCAAAAAGAAGCATAAATGGGGACATATGGCTCAGTGCCTGTGAAGGCCAATCTTGGCTTTTCTTACAGAGACAGACACAATATACATTACAACCCCAACTTGCAGTACTGTCACTGCCCCCAGGTTCTTTTCAAGAGGGTAAGGGCAAAGTATATGGATGCAGAATCAACAAAACTCTTTGGGAAAAAAAAAAAAAAAGCTCAAGATTCACACTATATTGAGACAACCACTTGCTGACATAACTACTGTGTATCTGGTGCTATGTTCCACAAGTATTTGGAAATGTTCCCCACTTTCCCCTCTATTTTAGAAGATAGAGTAACCAGCACAGTATCAGACAGCTAGTAAGGGGCCAGGAATTGCCCCAAGCTCTGATTCCAATGTGCATTTCCTTATTCTACCATGATTCCTCCTCAAACCTATCTTTGAATATGAAAAATTCAGTCACAAATTACATTATGACCTATTATAACATAAAATAAGTACTCTGGTATGGTTACACATTTCAATATCCACCATTACCAATAGACAGATTTGAATTTATGTTTTTAATTCCAGAATTTCCTAAATTTTATGCTTTTTAAACTAAGCAAACCTAAGTCTTGTTCAGCAATCTCTGGTAATGTTTGTTTGAAATATTAGTTATAATCTATAAGCAGATATTACTAAGTTTTATATCTTATCAGAGTTTCTGTTCTATTTATTGATCTCCTATTTTAAATTAAAGAACAATAAAAATCCTGGCAGCAACTAGGAAGGGGATGTAAGTACCTGTGCTGGCTGGAGCCCAGGGTACTGAGAGAGCTGAGGGGCAGGCCGAGCTTGTGCAGCAAAAAGAGCAGCTTGGTCCCCTGGCTGGCCCTGGAAAACAATATTGAGGTGACTGTTGGTCATAACTGCAAGGGTTTGATTAGAGGTCCTTGCTAATAATCTCACACCTCATTTTGGGAATACAATTTATAGCTTTCCAATCTACATTAAATACTACGTCTCATCAATTTTCTATGAGCATGAATACTGCTGAACTTATTCTTTCTTCCAAAGAAGACAACAGATATCCCCCAAAATAAGACAGGCGTAAACACAAGCCAAAGAATCAGAGACGGAGACGCTTCCTAGTACACTCCAGGGTACAGACACCTACTAGAATGGGAAGCATGTGTGTAGCAAATGTGAAATCTAAAACCACGGTGGCAAAATCCTAGCCCCACAAAGGGAAGAGAACATCTGTACATGCAAATGGCACATACATATTTTATGAAAGCTGAGTGACAATTCTTCCGAGTAACCTAAACATTGTTCAAGGAATGGATTTGGTTCTCCTATAATGAAAAGTCAGTAATAAGTTAATAGCAAATACAATTCTTGCCAAATATAATAGAAAGTAAAATCAGTTAACATCTGTTTACCAATCTTAATTTAATGTATGCTTAGGCCTTATGAAAATGTATATTTATAAGAGTAACTGTCTGAATTTTATGTTTTGCCAGCAGGAGCTATTTCATGGAAGCGTGCAGTGAGTGACACATAGAAAGAAGCCTAGCTTTTGACCATTTCCAGTTTATTTCAAGACTTAGTAAATATAAATTTACAATTTAAGATACTTTACTATTGTTTTATAGTTGATGTCCTCATTTTTAGTAAGTGCTAAATTATACTATAAGATTATTTTACTGTCCTTGCTACTTCTAGTAGAGAGAAAGATTTAGCTTAAGAGGTAAAAAGTCAGTAATTATTAAGTATCTATTATAACTCAGGCACTGGGCTTCTTTCTGGTTTCCATTTTCTCACAGGAACTGTCTAGGGTTGGAGCATCATCCCCATTTCTTCAGATAGGAAAATTCAGGCTCAAAGAGCTTTAGCAGCTATCGAACTCATCCAGCTACCTCTGGCAGAACAGTTGTATGATTACAGGCAAGTGTGACTTTAAGGGTCAGGGCCCTTTCCATTATGATGAAATGTCTCTATATGGTATTTAGTAAGGAATTATTTAAATCCCCACCTGGTGTTTATTCTTTAAGGACAGACAGCCTTTTAAACTCATTCCAGTAAGAAACCAGAAGGAGAGTCTCTATTAAATCTTGTTAGTGAGATAGTGAAACCAAATGGACACAAAAGAGGGCAATGTCCAATTTTTGATTCCTCTCGTTCATCTGACAACATTTAAACAACTTTAGGCATTCCTAAGTCCTACACATGGACTAAACACATATTTCTAGGAGTGTCGACTATGGTATATGTATATAACTACTTCAACAAGTATCTAACTTTCCAGAATAAGGTACTATGAAAACATCCTCAGTCTGATTAACCTAAGTGCAATTATATCTCTATCTGCTTGGGTCTAAGAAAAATTAGCCCAAACTCCCTCTATGATAACTCATGCCAAAGAAATGTGACCATCTGGAACTTAACAGTATTCCAAGTATTCATATGGCTCTCAATCTTCCAAACACTATGCCAAGGAATCTCTCTGGCTGAGCTAAATTTTAAAATACCAATCTTTAAATCAATGTTCCTTGACAGAGTCCTATGAGATTCCTAAAACATATTGCTGTGCTTTGCAGGAATAATTATCTTTGTTTTTATATAAAGTAAAAATAAAACAAATTATGTATGTGTGAGTGAGAATCTTGAGATTCTTAAGTGGTCTATAACACCAAGGCCCTCTCTAGGTTGGGATGCATTAAGCAGATCTTTCCTCTTCCTCTGCTTATGGCTTATAAAACAATTACATATCAGGGAAACTAGAATACTAGCAAAGCATATATCTCAGTTATAAGGCAACATTTTTACTGACAAATAATAAACAATTTTTAATGACAAAGAATGTAAAGATTTAATAAATACATTTATAATTATTCCATACAATTTTGAATTTCACTACATTTTTAAAAAATCAAAAAATTAACACAAGACAAACACTAATTTTCAAAGAGACATGGAAGAAGGTGTAACAAATATGAAGCTTTCTACACTCTAAAATTATGCATTCTCAATCATGTTTGTCTAGAAGTAAACTATTTATATGTGAATTTATTATATTCTTCTCAACACAAATTTTTCCAGTACACTATGTAAGTACAGTAGATGCAATATCCTCCCTAAGGAAATCACAAACACACCAAGTTGGCTAGACCTTTTCAAGGTCTGTGTACACTTTATCACTTCTCTTGCCAAAATGAAATGACCTCTTAATTTTCTTTGTTTTTCCCAGAACAGTGTCAGGAACTTATTACAGTTTACAAAAATAGTTCAATTCATTCCAAGTTAAGAACAAATGCTAAAATAGTTCTTTAAGCTTGAAAGATTTTATAAATATGAAACAAAGACCACAACATGGTCTATAAAAAAAAATGAAACTAAAGACAGAGATTCAGTAAAAGTTCTTTAATGTTGGTACGGATGGTTTAGATGCATTAAACACCCAAACTGGGCCAGGCCAGGACAACTGTATTCAAAGGGACATGACTGGCAAATTAAGACACAGGGTCACCTCTATATGTTTATATGTGAATTTATTGTGTTCCTTCTCAACACCTGTTGTAACCAGATCCACTTATCTGAGAACTCTCTCAACTTTATTTTATCAGATCCTAGCATGTCTGGCACAGAGTAAATGCTCAATTTCTACCTATTGAGAAAAATATAAGATCAAATTTATTTTATCTTAACCAAGAATTCCAGTGGCAAACTGGGATTTATATTTAGGTATTAATTACTTTGTCAAATTAATTCTCCATAATTTTAGCACCGTCTTTTTCAAAACTCAAGTTTAAACTCAATTTTTAAAATCTACCATTCTATCTATTTCTTTTTTCTGCCTGCATTACCATGTAGAGAAAGGCTCAACATTTTCCTCGAAAACAAACAATGAGAGTTAACATTAGCTTCATATTTTTAATGTATGCAGAGAGCAGTTTGTGAGATTGCAGTCAGTTACCTGGGCAATTCCAGTAATTCCATGAAATTCATCTTGACATTGCTTATGTCAACACATAATTTCTATGTGTGGTTGCTGTAATTTATTTTTATACCTTTGTTTTGTACTTATGTCTATAAAATAAATATAAATTCACTGTATTGTATCAGTGATGTTTAAAATTTTTGATGAATCATCCTCAAACATAATTTCATTCTTCTAACACTCATTAACACTCATTCCCTCAGTCAAGTGAGCAAATGTATCTCTTTGTAATGGAGAACAGGTTATAATATCAATTATGCATATATGAAACACAATAATCAGCAGCATTTCAGCATAAGACTTTTCAATCTACTTAAGTTGTAATAAAGATTTTTCAAAGTTCTATTCATTAACTTTTCAATAGTGTTTAGGAGTTACAAGTAAATAAGGCAGTTGCATCTAAGAAGCTATAGCCAGATTTTCTGGTTGTTTCTGAAATGGTGATTGAGGAATAATAATAAAACCAGGTGGTAAATTCTTATGAGTCACCTAGTAAAAAGTGTCTCATGGCTTCCATTTTAAAACATAATGAATTAGCACCCACGGCTAATCTAGCACATGTTATGAACCAGAATTTATTATGGTCATCCTATCAAACTGGTGTTATTTTGATTGCATACAAAAGGCACTAAGAAAATTCTAATTACGAGGTCCAGTTAATGAGTTATGCCTGACAGATTTATAAACTTTTACATGAAATAGAACTTCATGGGGAATAAAGTAACAGTTGCATTAACTGCTGGATCGAAGCGATTCATTCTAAAATAAGTATACCTCATAAAATAATGCGCCTCTATAATATAACACAATGACATTCTTATAAGTGATGAGCATAAAGGTTGGCTGAATATATAAATTCAGTAAATTCCTACTAGTAAAGAATATTAAAGAAAGAAAGAACTGCAAAGATGTAGATTCATATTTCTCTTAATTTGAATGACTATACATCATAGAACTTCTTGAGTTTAAATAGCTGACAAAGCAATTTGCTTATAATAATACTTTTTTAAAAAAGTGAAATCAATGACTGATGAAAATTACTTTCTATCTGATTACATTATCATGTGAACATTGAATGCCCTGTAGTAAACATATTTTTTTAAAGCTGGTAGTTTAGTTCATATTTTTAAATAAATACAAAGCTTATTTGCTTCTTTCTACTATAGTGTCATTAAAAATCTAAAGAATTTTTTTTCCAGAAAAATCTCTAAAGTTTCCTTTGCTGAAATAATGATTGGAGAAATTGCCTAATAGCCAGTAATTAATAACTTAAACACCTTCAAAGCTTGAATATGCAGCTAAGGATTTTCACCAATGTATAGAAAATGTTTCCCACAAAATTTTAAGTTAAATAAGTCGACTTACATTCACATCTGAGATGTGTGCTCTTTTTATTCTAATGCTTCTTGGGTTTATGATGTGGGTTGGCTACCTGATACAGATACCTATAAATAATTTAATGTAAACATGCATTCTTAGCTAGCCCAGGCAAAGCAATAGTGGTAAAGTCTGATGACATGCATGCACAAGATCCTGAACTTAAAAAAAGTCTTCTCCATACTGGAAAGAAAACAGAGATGATACATTTTGTTGAGAATTTATGGATAGCCAGTGAGTGGGATGTGATGAGAAGGATGTGTTTCATAACCACAAGTTTCATTATCTTGCACTGGTCTCTGAGTCAGCATGCCATGCATTCCTATACTAATGATGTGAACTAACAAAGAGAGAAGCAAGAATTCAGGAACAGATGCATTCAAATCTGGGTCTGAGATGAAGGTGCACAAATTGGTATATGCTCCCACACCCAGGCCATGAACACCCACTGGTTTCTAAGCATAGGCATATAGGATGGAAAACATGAGGCAAAGGGGAACACTTTCAGAAATAAATT